TTTGCATGGCTGGTGGGAATGCAAACTGGTGCAGCCACTCTGGAAAACAGTGAAAGCTTCCTCTAAAAATTAAAAATAGAACTCCCCTCCAATCCAGCAATTGCACTACTGGTATTTATCCAAAGGAGACAAAAATGTTGATTCGAAGGGGCACACACACCCCAATGTTTATAGCAGCGCTATCAACAATAGCCAAATTATGGAAAGAGCCCAAATTTTCATCAACTGATGAATGGGTAAAGAAAACATGGTATTCCATATATAATGGAGTGATCAAAAAGAATGAAATCTTGCCATCTGCAACAACGTGGATGGAACTAGAGAGTATTGGGCTAAGTGAAATAAGTCAGTCAGAGAAAAACAAATATCATATGACTTCACTCATATGTGGAATTTAAGAAATAAAATAGATGAACATAGGGGAAGGGAAGGAAAAATAAAAACGGGGAGGTAAACCATAAGAGACTCTTAAATACAGAGAACATGGGCACCTGTGTGGCTCAGTCAGGAGAGCAGTTGACTTCAGCTCAGGTCATGATCTCATAGCTCGTGAGTTCAAGCCTCATATCAGGCTCTTGCTGACAGCTCAGAGCCTGGAACCTGCTTCAGATTCTGTCTGTATGTCTCTCTCTCCACCCCTCAAATATAAATAGATATAAATATTTTTTTAAAGAAATACAGAGAACAGACTGAGGGTTGCTGGAGGGGATGTAGTCGGGGGGGGATGGGCTAGGTGGGTGAGGGGGATTGAGAAGGGCACATGTTGGGATGAGCACCAGGTTCTATTCCTGAAACCAGCACTGTACTGTATGTTGACTAACTTGAATTTTTAAAAAATAAATTTAAAACAAGTCAAGTACATTATAGATAATTAAGTAATCCAATATTCTGCTATTCCTGCATTGCACTAAATAAGATCACTTAACAAAAATGCTTTTTAAAGATAATCTAGCTTTGCTCATGCATTCTTATCCTGAATAAAGAGTAGACATAAGTTTATATATATGACACAAAGAAAAACTCATGAATTTTACTAAAATTAAATTCTAAATGTCTGTAAAGCAAGAGACATTCTCAAAACATACAAAAGACACAGACTAGGATAAAACTTTTGCAATGCCTATAGACAAGTGACTAATAGCCAGATTGTAAATATCAAATTAGGGAAAAAAGTGGCAGAACTCATAAAAAGAATATTCTCCAAAAGAGAAATCTGAATGGCCAAGTGCCATTTTTAAAATGATGCTCAGGGTAACAGAAAAGTCAAAACATAACGAAATACCATTTCATAACCATCAGATTAGAAAAAACCTAAGCTCTGACAATATCTAGCATCGGGGATAACATGAAACAAAAAGATCTAAACTGGTAACCTCTTAGGAAGCAAGCAGGCAACCACACAAGGGTCACTAAAATGCTGCAAACAACTTATAAGTTCAACAGAACAACACAGAAATATCTACATACTAGAATGCTCTACAGCAGTTAAAACTGATGGTATATATATATATATATATATATATATATATGGAGAGAGCAGAATACACACCCCCTAATATGCCACGTTGGCACTTTGGTTAATTGGGGCTGTAGGCAATCAAGCCCTGGCAGACTCAGGAAGAGATTTTTTGTACTTCTCCCTTAACTGACTGAAAGAATTTAGATAGGAGCCTGTCCCAGGAGGCAGCTACTACCAGAGACAACTTCTTATACCAGAAAAACTTGACCTGCATGCCATGATATTTGCTCTTCTCATCTTCCTGTGAATTGTCTTCCTCCCTGCAGAAGTCCCAGACCCATGTCTCCTTAGCTCAGGATGATGTATAAGCCTCAACTGCCTGACTGCTTTTGAGTCTTATATTTTTACGGGGCTCCCGTACATATGAAATTAAAATTTTTCCCCCTTACTTTGTCTTCTGTCAATTTAATTAGTAGGGCAGCCCAAGAATCTAGAGGGGAAAAAGGGAAACATTTTCTGCCTCTACTTGATATATGTATCAACATGGACAAGTCCACACAATAGGCTATTGAGTGAAATAGTTGTAAAACATATGTGTATTGTATACCATTTACTTAGCTTTACAACATATATAATAATCCCATATATTTTTTGTAGTTAATACATAACTGGTAAATATAAAAATCCTTTTGGATTTTTGTTAAACACCAAATTTAGGATGGTGGTTACCTCTGGAGACAGGGGTGACAGGTATTGAGGAAGGCACTCATGATGAGCACTGGGTGTTATATGTAAGTGATGAATCATTGAATTCTACTCCTGAAATCAATACTACACTGTATGATAACTAATTAGAATTTAAATAGAAATTTGAGAACAATCTGAAGGTTGATGGAAGGTGGGGAAGAAGGGAAAGTAGGTGATGGGCATTGAGGAGGGCCTTTGTTGGGATAAGCACTGGGCGTTGTTTGTAAGCCAAGGTGACAATAAATTATATTATATTAAATAAATAAATAGAAAGAAAAAGAAAAAAGAAAAAAGAAATAAAACCACTTTCAACTTAAAAAGCTTAACTGCTTTTCTTGTTTTTTAATTTTTTTGAATGTTTTGTTTTTTTCTGAGAGAGAGAACATGAGCAGGAGAGGGTCAGAGAGAGAGGGTGACACAGAATCTGAAACAGGCTCCAGGCTCTGAGTTAGCTGTCAACACAGAGCCCAACGCAGGACTCGAACCCATGGACTGTGAGATCATGACCTGAACCGAAGTCAGATGCTTAACCAACTGAGCCACCCAGGCACTTCACTTAACTGCTTTTCAATTAAAAAAAAAAAAAAAAAAAGAAGAGTAAACAAGGCCAAAACTTTTCTTAAGCAAGATGATGTTGATTATATTATCCCTTCCCTCACTTACTTGTAAACCTCAAATTATTTCCCAAGAAAAAGGAGAACCCAAAGATCAGTGTTAGAATGGCCCATCACGGACTGCTCAAGGGAGAAAGTGCTCTGACAAGCTAGTCCACAGACCTATCTGCTCCAACACGTCCCAGCTGCTGAAATATATGTATCAGTACATCAGTGCCTGATGATACTCATCATCTGAATCATACAACCAACTTTCTGGCTCGACTTAAAACTCAGCAGGGAGCTTTCTGAAAAATCTGGCTTCCTATAATTTTCCCAAAAAGAGAAAGCATTCACTATCCACTCACTAATATAGACACCTAGTGTTTCTGGCAGTGCATTTCCAACTTTCTGGCTCTCTCTTGGCCTTCCGGTTTTCATACTTTGGTCCCTGGTGAGTTTAGTCATGAAGAAACAGCTTTCCTGAGTCTAATCAATTCTGCAACATGAATGCATCGTACCTGAGCCTACGGGGATGATGGCCAAACCTTTACCCCTTTTCCAGGCAACAGCTCAATCTTGTTCTTTGCCTCTTCCAAATTTCAAGAGTTCAGAAGCAAAAACATTATTCTAGTAAGAGAAAACAAATGAATTTCATGTAAATACCTAGTTGTATAGCTAAGTCCATTTTTCATGTGTTTCTCTTCTCTTTGTTATGACTATGGAATCTAAAGGGTAGAAAAGGATGAGGTAATTGTTTGAGGCAGGATCTAATAGGGTCTCAATACCTTGTCCAGGGTCTAGACCGCACTTTTGAAGATGAAGAAAGTTTATTTTTTTTCTGTACACTCAAATGTACCCAAGCTCTGAGAGGCAAATTCATACTAAGTGAAGCCTTAGGATCTAATTCACTAAGTACCAAATACACATGCACTGAGAACAGGAAGCAGCTGTCCACCAGGGGAGAGTCCCTCCCACTGGATAGATTCATTTAAGAGATATCAGAGTTTGTTAAATGAGCGTGAGAGCAAAAGAGTTTTATTCTCAAAAGGCTGCTCTATCATGCTATGGTGACCTGGTGATTTTAACAATGTGTCCTAAAAGGGAAAGAGTATGAAACTAACATCTTTATTGAGTATCATGTAAGCTGGGGATATTAAAGTATGTGTTTTACATATATTATTAAATATATTATTTATTCCTTAGTTTCATTCTCATAACAACCTTATGACTAGAGGTGTTTTATATTCATTTTACTGAAGAGGAAAATCAGACTCCGAAAGGTCAAGTGAGTTCCTTACCTTAGTAGAGCCAGATCTGTCTCAAACCCAGATCTGTCTGACAAACACACATCTTCCACTCTAGTAATATTTCTCTTTAAACAACCACAGTTAATCCCTGAACCACCAGCAGGTTAGGCACACGAACCTTCCCCCAACATGTACAGCTGAAACCTGCATATAACTTCTGAATCCTCCAAAAACTTAATTACTAATAGCCTACTGTTGACTGGAAGGCTTACGAATAACTTAAACATTCAAGTAACACGTATTTTGTATGTTATATGTATTATATGACAAAATTCTTACAATAAACTAGAGAAAATGTTAAGAAGATCATTAAAAATAGACAATGCATTTAACATTACTGCACTATATGTATCCCCAAAAAAGGACGTATAAGTGGAGCATATAAGTGGAGTTCAAACCCATGTTGTTCAAGGTCCAACCTTACAGTCAGATACCTCAAACCAGAGCAGCTCCCCCTTCTGGGCACTGTGGGAGACAAACCAGCTCATAATACTCATCCCCTGACTCCCCTTCTCTTGTCCTCAATACAACACTTAATGTCCTTGCGGGACACTTGAGAAATACCCTCACTCATTAGCAACACACTTAAGAACAATTTCCAAGGGAGGTTCCCTCTTGCAGATAACTCATGTCCTCACATTTATTTATCTCATCACATTTAATGGTCCTCATTAAGTTCAATTCCAGAGGGTGGCATTTCTGACCTAGTCCTCCTTAGTGTGTGCTTTGTTTGAAGTTCGCTGTGGACTCATTAGAGAAAAACCACCCACAGTCTTGCACTCTTTAAAAGACAAGGATCTTATATCCACTGCCCCCAACACCCAGAATTCCCTGCCCCATTACCTACTCCCGAGCTATCTAACTCCTCCACCCTGTGTGCTCCACCCATAGATGGAAGATCCCAGAGCAGCCTTCCTGGCTGCTGCTTGGTCCTTATCTACAAAGCTTGGGCATTCCAAGTGCTGAAGATCTTAAATCAGCAGGTACTCTGAGGCATACAGCTGGGACAAATCCACCGCTGCCATACTGCCAGGGCTTCACAGCAGAGAAGGGGAACTCCCTGTGCACAGTTATGGAGGAAATAGTGTGCTTGGGGACCAAAAAGCAGGTGTCTCTGGTTGAGGGCAAAGAAAGAGTATTCGGAACGATGGCTGGAATATCAGGTTGGAGGCAAGCTCCAAAGGGCTTTAAATGGAGTTGAAGTAAGCAGAAAAGTCAGTGATAAAGACGAATTAAAGTAGGGAGAAAAGCAGAATAAAGCGCTGCTCCAGAATCCGAAATGGGAATTCCAGTAAGTAATGGGCATGAACATGAAATGTAGTTAATAAAGTTATGATAAATAGCACAGTAGGGTATTGGTAGAAGAGTACATAATGCAGAGCAATATAACCGAATAAATAGTCCAGAAGTATTTTTTAACTGAAATGTGGAATATCAACTACAAAGTCAATATATGTAAAGCAATTAGAAGAGTATCTGGTCCAGAGACACCTGGGTGGCTCAGTCGGTTAAGCATCTGACCCTTGGTTTCAGCTCAGGGCATAATCTCATGGTTCATGAGTTCAAGCCTGGTATCAGGCTCCATCCTGGCAATGCAGAGCCTGCTTGGGATTCTCTCTTTCTCCCTCTCCCTCTCTCTCTGTCTCTGTCTCTCTGTCTCTCTCTCTCTCTCTCTCTCTCTGCCCCTCCTCCATGCATGTGCATGTGTGTACTTTCTCTCAAAATAAATAAACTTAAAAAAAAAAAAAAACAGAGAGAAAAGTGTCCAGTCCATAGTAATCAACCAGCAAACGGTAGTGGCTATCCTTATTACTATTTGCTGTTATGGTGGTTGTAATTATTATTAAAAACCAGTATGGAAAGGAAAGATTCCTTCAAGACATTCAGTGGTAAAGAGAAGGAGGAGAGTAGACAGGAGGAAAGGAGCAGCAAAGAAGGCAATTAACCTGTATGCTGGATACTGAATAAAAATTTACTAGAGGAGTGAATAATATATATATGAGCCAAAGGGATGGAGATTGTGAGATAATCGGTACCAGAGCAAGGGATTCACTGCTGGCCCGGGGACCAAGAAGTGACAAAATGGAATCAAAAGCACATGCGCAGAAATTAGTCTTGAAAAGGAATAGGGTACCTCACACTTTTGAGGCAAAAAGGAGGTAAAAATGAGTGAAGACATAAGTATGCTGTGTTCTAAAAAGGGGGCCTAGGATGAGCTGCATCAGAATCAGCTGAGGGAAAGCCTTGGACTCCACCCCACACCCATGGGGGTCAAAACTCCTAGGAGATGAGGCCCAGCAACATGCATTTGAATTGTTTTATGGTCTGTGACCCAGTGGTTTCCTTCTGGAAGGAAGGGCATTCGGAATTCATATCCATTGGCTCCTATGGAGAAAGAAAACCGACTCCTTAACCAGCCACAATTATGACTAAGCTGACCAGGTCTCACAGCTGGAGAAGAAAAAGGGTCTTCACACCCTGAGATAAGCTAAGAGTAGGGAAGAAGATTCTACCTAGAATTAGTCTCTCAAAATCAATGAAGCCTTGAGCCCTTTCCTGTAAATTACTAACTCCCTAACATAAAAAACGTCTTGACGTCTGCAGCACTATATCTACAAGTATGAAAATCATGTGGGGAAACTACTGTTTTACCCACATAAACACACGAACTGTAGCCTTGGTGATTTGTGATTTTTTTTTTCCTTTAAATGTCTACGGTGTCATTTATTCAAGGAAACATTCTTCTCCAGATTGGACTCCTAATGTTTATTCAATTAATCCACCACCTTAAGAAAGGAAGAGGTGAAGTGATCTAAAAGGAAGATGGGGGAGGGAGAGAGGCTTGAAAAAAGCAGAAAAGGTGTGAAATACCTGTTGAGGGTCTGAAAAAGGGCACCAACTAGGAACCAGAAAAGAGACTGTCAGGCAGGTTTCAGAGCTTAAATAAGGCCGCACATCCTAAATGTGCAGAGAGAAGCTCGTGAGTCTGTGACATCCGCCGCCACTCAACAGCCGGGCGGAAGAGCAGAGAAAATGAAGTTGGGTTTTAACTGCGGGTTTGGAATTGGCAGGGCAGGTTCAAGGAAGAGTGAAGGCTTCTGTCACGGACGCTTCGTGATCCCTGGTGAGGGTCACAGGTATGGGAGGAAAGGAAAGACAGCTGTACAGAACTGCTCCTCGGCCCAAACAGTGTATGTGTGAAGAAAGGGGTAAAGGTACAGCCAAATTTTCCTCTACATTCCAATTACTGTAGTAAAGACAGGCTTGCTCATAGTAGCAGCTTTTCAGGTAAAAGTAACAGTATGGAATATACTAGAAGCCGTGTATCAGTGTGAGGTCACTTATCCCTTTTCAACCTCAAAACTCTTTGGAGCAGAGATCCTTAAACCAAGGTTTGCAAACTGAGCTTTTTATAAATTATCATCAGGCCAAGGACACACAGGTCCTTGCCCATGATGTAGTTCAGGTTCGAAGTCAAGTGTGACTGACCGCAAAACTCACTCTCCATCCACCCACTGGCCCACAGTGACCTCGCAGGGACCAGCTGGGCTCCACTTTGCAGAGTGAGGGGTAACAGTATCATCAAAGGGAAACCAGAGTTCTGGTAGAAAAAGGGGCAGCAGGGAATATTCTAAGAAAGAATTAAGAATATAGGGGTATTTTTTGGCAACAAAACTAAAGAAAATGAGAGAAGCACGAGGTGGGAAAATATGCAGCGAGAGGAAAGCAAGTAACAGGCAATAAGCAGCTGGTAATAACAGATTGATAGCTGTTAATAAGTGTGTATCAGACTGCTGGCTGGCTGCGTGTGTGCGTGAGGGGAAGGAAGTTAGAGGAAGAAAATGAGCTCAGCCCACTCACCACTCTTATCTGCGACCTCTCTCTAAGGGGGAGGAGCCCTCTCTAAGGGGGAGGAGGCCACTCTCGCAGCCCTTAATCTAACCCTTTCCTTCCGCTCACTCTGGGGAGTGGCCTGCGGGGCTTGGCTTGCTCCTCTCTGGGACACTTTCCCATCGCTGAGAACAATCCCAATGCACTATAACATGACAGAGGCCCACAGTCTCAGAAGCGTGATTTACATCCAGGCTGAATATAAAAGAAACCAAGACTGAAAAAATAGAGATGGAATAAAGAACAGGTGAATTCAAAAAAGCACATTCCCTCCCAACCTACAGCTGTACTCCCGCCGTTACACCTTAAAGGGATGGTACCCAACATTTATGTAACACTTACTATATGCTAAATACGACTATATAGGACCCTTTTGATTACCATTACTATAACCCATGAGAGACAGAATTCCATAGTCCCAGTTTACTGATGGGCACAGTAAGGCACAGAGATTAAGTAGTTTGCTACAGTCGCAATAGCTAACACGTTTTTATTTATTTGAGAGAGTGAGAGAGAGAGGGGTTGGAAGGACACACATGAGTGCAGGAGAAGCAGAAGAGAGGATCCCAAGCAGGCTCTGTGCTGTCAGCACAGAGCCCAGTGTGGGGCTTGAACTCCTGAACCTCAAGATCATGACCTGAGCCAAAACCAAGAGTCGTACACTTAATTGACTGAGCCACCCAGGTGCCCCCTCAACAGCTAACATTTAAATTCATGCAGTTTTTGTTCTTTATCTTTAATGTTTGTTTGTTTATTGAGAGAGAGAGAGAGAGAGAGAGAGAGAGAGAGAGAATCCCAAGCAGGCTCCATGCTGGCAGAGTACAGAGCCCAACACGGAGCTCAAACCCATGAACTGTGAGACCATGACCTGAGCCGAAATCAAGAATCAGATGCTTAACTGAGCCACCCAGGCACCCCTCTAAAGTTTTTGTTCTTAACGCAAGGCACCAAAGATGGCTGTGCGATCTATCCCATCTAAAGGTGCCCACAGGGAGCAAGTCCAAGAAACTCAGTCCACATCCCCTTAATAATCCACGCATCCTGAGCACAAAGCCACATCCACCCGCAAACTCTTCTCTTTGCCCGGGCCCTTCCACCTGACAAGCTGTGTGTCCAGGGGACGAGGTCCATGCAAAGGGAAAGCCTTTCTGATGCACGCATTGGTGCCGAATTGCCATAGCACCACACTGACTGCTCTGTGCAGGGAGCCATTTACAGGGATGTTGCTCCAGCACTCTTCATAAGGATGACTTTGGAAAATGGATAAGCTGCACTATATTCTCACACTGGGATGCTATGGAGCACTGAGGGGGAACGGACTGTTCATTATGTACAAGCAGATTTTCAAGACACAACATTGAGTGAAAACCAAGTTACACCTTATGTACAGGAACAAAAACAATATTACATTTGATACACATACACACACATTCACCGAATTCATGACATTTCTGAGGAGGAGGAGAGTTAGAAGCTGGGAGAAGATCCCCAGGAAAGACTTAGATGTACCTTTAATGTTTTATTCGTTTGAATAAGACCTGAAGCAAATATGACAAAATGCTTATTAGTGTTAATTCTGGGAGGCAAGCATGCAATTACTCAAAGTAAAAATACAGATCACTTTTTAAGAACACACTTAGTGGGAACCTAGGAGTCACAGTTAGAAAGCTATGCTGTGAGGGGCACCCAGGTGGCTCAGTCAGTTAAGCCTCCGATTCTTAATTTCAGCTCAGGTCATGGTCTCAGGGTTCGTGAGATCGAGCCCCATGTTGGGCTCTGTGCTGACAGCACGGGGCCTGCTTGTGATTCTCTCTCTGCCCCTCCTCCATTCGTGTGTGTGTGTGTGTGTGTGTGTGTGTGTGTGTGTATGCACACAGGCTCTCAGTCCTCAAAATAAGTAAATAAACATTTTTTTAAAAAGAAAGCTGTGCTGTAAGATCAATAATTGGAATTTCACGGTTCACGGCTTCAGAGGTGGACCAACTGTGGGTGGTGGCAAGGTCTGAGGCGTGGCCGTTTGAATGGGTGGCTGACACGGAGTGGAGGTGGGAATCAATGAGGTGTAAGAAATCAATGAGGTGTAAGAAAAGAAAAGAAATGGATTCAGATGCGTCACCAATGTGCTTGTTGAAGTTTTCCAGAATGATGACAAAATCCAAGGAGGCAAGAGAGAGGTGCCAACGTTCTCATTGAATATGGTTATAGGGCAAAGAGATTACTTGAGCCAAAAATGAGGATGGTAAGAGGGTGGAGTGTGTGTGCATCAGTGGAGGTGTGGCTGTTGAGAGAAGCCACACAGTGAGCAGAAAG